CGTACTACGAATTCGTCGCTCAATCGCGTTGGTTATAATCGCAGGCTTTGAACGAACGTTCCGATTGCGACGAGCCGCGACGTTAATTGCCGATCGATATTTTTGCGAAGAACACTTTCCAAAGCGTCAGTGTCGTTGTAACCGTACGAAACCGCCGTGAGCAATCGCCGTGAAACGTTGTTGCAGTGTAAAGATATAATTAAGAATTACACTGTACAGCTTTACAGAACTTTTATTCGAACGAGACAAGACTAAAAAAACTGATCGTGGGTATTTTTTGTCACGCTTATACAAGGTGAGTAGAAAAAAAGGGTTCATAAGGGTTCACTTTTAGGATAGTATTCGCCGAAACATGAGAGAAAGTCCTAATGGGACGAAAAATTAATAGTTTCAAAGTTATGAATAATTTTTCTGTGAAAGAAACGAGAATTTCTTCGCTTCGAGAGCTATCATACTGCGCGTAAGTGATGGTTTACTTTATTATAATTTCTCCTTTTTCTGATTTTCTTCTTCTTCTATTTATATGCACGCTTGACACCTTCATTCATACTCTCTCAAAAATTCCCAGATGTGTTCTAACTTTTTCAAGCCGATTCCAACCGAAACAAAAAATCGTTTCGTAATTTTGGAACTATTTATTTATTGGCACTTTTTTCACGTACTTCGGCGAGTACTATCTACCCTAGAAGTTACAAACTTTTCTTTCTATTAACTTAACACCCTGTACAGTAGTGTCCTTTTAAGTGTCTTTTAAATCGGGACCGAAAGCGTATGCTTAAAAGAAGTGGTGTATCGAATTGGCAGCAAAAGAAAGACTGGGGGATGAGCGATTAACTGTTACACCGATATCAAGCACTTGCGGTGAATTCCATTGTATTGTTTACCACATTATTCGATTGCAAAGAAATTTAACATGTCGACATTTTATTGAAACTGATATGCATCTAAACTATTCTAAATTTAATACACACACGCTTCTAAACTGAATAAAGCAATCAATTGTGACAAAGCAATAATTATCAAATGATTAGCAGTTAATCTAAATTTCTCGAGAATTTATTGAAATTCCTATAAAAGTAGTTGTCAATTAATAATTATCATAATTGAATGGAAATCTCGAATAAAGGTCTTGTTACATTTCCATCGATATTAAATTAACAATACACATAATATGATTCTGTAATCGTAGTATCTTTTTATTTAATATAAAATTTGCCCAACTCTGATCGATGTGTGTCCGAAGCAATCATAATGTGTCTAAACATCGCTTGTTTTGTCCCATGTTTCGCGGGTAGAGTGGGGATGAATTTATCCGAATTCCAAGAATTGATGGGGATAGCGACGGACGCTTAAGTGGGCACTATTGCACAGTACCTGGCTGATTCTTAACAACGTTAACGGTATGTTCTTTGCGTTCCTTGCACGCTCGCTTTTCGACGTGTAGGGATCTTTAATGAATATACAGGTTGTATTGATCACACGGGACAATGCGAGCCGTCGATCGCTAAAATTAACTGTCGCCACGCTTTTAAAGACGAGAGAGCCGAGAGTTCCGAAGTGGCTGCCGCTTAAACCGCCCAGTTTATTATTAATCTTAATTAGCCGGTATCCTCGGCTTGTTGCGACCAGCAAGCGGGCCGCGAAAGTGTGCATAATTTCGAGTGGCGGTGCCAACAGTCGTTGACTTAATTAATGATCAATTACGCACGAACCGGCGACACGATTCTCTCATTCTCGGTCGTCTGTCTCTTCATATTCCGCGACAAGTTCCCGAGCTTCTCGTTTTCATCCGCCGGCCGCCGATCAAAAATAACATCTTGCACGCGCTCGTATGGACGAGCGAGATGATTTCGAACGCCATGGAATTTCTTACTGAAATTGAAGAAGAGGAGAGAGAAAAAGTTGGCTAACGGAATTACGTCCCCGTTTCCGTTCTTTCTCGCAGCCGGGTGAAATTGATTCACGGCACTCGGACTCCCGGTTCTCGCTGCGACGCGAGGCCAGCAGTAATTTCGCGAAGACTATGCGACTATTTGTCTTCGTTGAAGTGGATAAACAGGTCAGGTTGTAAATTTCGTTTAATCCGATTAATCGAATAGCAACTGGTAAACGGGACGCGAACCGAGACGACGAGGTTTCGCGAGAAACGAGACGGGAGGCGGGAGGTGAAATTGAAATTATCGATTTAACGCTCGCCGACGGTAATCTCGGCACTATCGACGCTCGATTCGCGCGACCCTATCGATTCTCGCGTTCGTACCGGGGCGAATCTAGCCGACGAAAGCTTCAAATGTTTCCAACTGTTTTTGGACATTTTGGATTTTGGCCGCGCACAATCAAATTTCCAAGTAGAATTTAACAGCAACGGTAGCGACGGTGCGGCATGGATCGACCATTCGAGTATGAAGATTCCAATGACGACAGGTGAGACACGCTAGTGGTCTGGCAGCAATCATGTTCAAAATCATTTGTGCGCGTCTCTGAACTGACACGGTCCGTTGATATTGTCGAACGAGTTGTTCACTTTTGCCTAAAAAACTGGATCATTCTCGATTAAGTTTTGTCCGGCGAATTGAATCTGCTTCTCGCACGATCGACGTAAACAACGAATCAACCTTTATGGCCTGTAGTTGAATTTAACCTCAAAGGCTTCCTCGAAGAAACAGTGAAATACTCATCTCTGTTTGAGACAATCGATTCGCGATGGCGTTTTGCGTGCTACGGGACGTTATCTGCATCCGATTCAGTCGGTGGGATATTTACAAAAATGCTGATATATCTTACTAGGGGGAAGCACGAAATTTGGTGACGATCGATAACATTGTTCCCGTTAGGCATGAACAAATATATCCGGTTATGTCTCGCAGTCACGAAAGCCACTTACAGTTGCCCAACACTTTCAACGGAGGTATCGCGTAATTTCATTAACGCGTAATTTTCTTCGTCGGCTTTTCCACTTTTGCGATTCGTTTAATCGAACGTCTCGACGCAGCTGAAGGAAACACGACAAAGAAAGGTAATTAATGTCGGTTATATTGCGGCCCGTGTTTCGGAAGAGCTCTACTTCGAGCCAGTTCTCCGTCGTATGACAATTCCCCCGGAGACCTTGGAACTTGAACGACTTTGCTTTTACGTGGTACGCGGTTCTTCAAAGATTCCTCCGCAGAACTTCTGGGTCACGAATTAGTTCTTCTGGACGATCCTCTTGACAATGTTTCGAATTCAGCGCAATTCTCAGTGCTATTCAACGAGTTAGTAGGTCTTTGGGATAAGTTTTAGAATCGATGCTACAATTCGACAGACTATCTAGCGTCAGTAAATGGCACTGGATAACGACACGAAGGATTATTAAACGACGACCCTACGATTTTCTCGCCAATATCACTGAAACCTACTCTCTATCACGCCCGCGAGAGATTTATTCTTCACGAGTGGATATCGTCAAATCTGTCAGTATCAAACGTGTCAGAAGAAAGGTATATCTTGTTTCTAACACTGTTATTAGATGACGGAAGTATCATGTCTCGCAAACAGTTTGTTAACTGCGAACTGTTGGCGAACAGCAACGAGGACGGACGTTAGAGACAGATGGGTTTCAACGTTGTTCGTTCTCTCGATAGAAACGTAGCACAACAGGAAGTCCACCGAGAACCGAGTCCAGGCATAGACAAACCAGTGGTCGAAAGGGATGCCAGAGGAGACAGAGGATGCGGCCCGCGAATGCGTCGAAGGAGGAGAAGAAGGTCCAGATGCATCTGCAAGCCGTCTGCACGCAGAAGGAAAATCGTGTCGACCAATCCTTTTATCATCTTTTATCTGGAAATGTATTTTAAATCGCCTGAGAAGCGCGTGACGATAGTGGCCCGAGAGGCTGGTAAGCAATGGTCTGCCATGTCGGACAGTTCGAAGGCAAAATACATAGAGCTCGCCGAGAAGGCGAAACGTCGAAGATGCTCCACGTCGAGGAGATAGAATTCTCGGCGAAAGAGAAGAACTCGGCGAGTCTGATTTACTCCCGATTCGTGATATCACGCAGATGATGACCCGGGGGATGAGCCGAGGGAGGAAAGCGTCGAAAATTGTCTCGCGTGAAACAAAGTTGACGAGGGAATCGTTTGAAACGCGAAACGATTGGAATCTCGAGTACCACCGAGCGACGCGGAACGAATCTGCAAGAGTGGTTATCGTCGTAAAAAATCGAGGCACCGTGTCGAAATTCAAATCGTGGAATCCGTGTTCGAAAAGTCGAAAGAAATAGATGACGTCCCGTGTGTATATCGATTCACACTGAAACACATTTTGTACCTTATGAAGCAAATATACGTGTTTTTTATACGTGGAAAAAAAAAATAACGGGACGATTATTGGAGAAAATGGAGAAGGCAGATAACAGAGGAAGGTAAGAAACGAGGAGGAAGAAAAAAAGAGAAAAAAAAAGAATATAATCGATGGACACGCGCGTGGCGATGTTGTTGGTCGACGGTGTTCCCCGATAAGAGGACCGCATGCATCAGAGAGAGAGATGTATTTTTACTACAGGCGGGTATTAAAGAGTCGAGCATCGAGCGCGTGCAGCTTACGGAAGCTCAAGGCTGCAGCTACCCTCTCGGTCACTATGTTACTGCTTGATCCTTGCGGGCTGAACGAGGTCAAGGTCGTTCGGTACGAGAACTTTAAGTGCTTCCACGATTCATTGAATTCCTCCCCCTTGTGCTCGTCCTTTGCATCGGAAAATCGCGATTTTATGCAAGACTACAGCTTTATGCGGCGAGCGCACAGAGGCGACAACAGCACCGTAAACACCGCGTGCACGCCGCAAACGCTAACTTTAAACGCTTGCTAAGCGGATTTGCACGACGTCGCCTGCTCGTTTCCTATGCGAACGCGTCCGAGCCTGAAACGGTGTCCGACCTTTTACGTTCTTTCATCGCCGGGGACCGATCTTTCAATAACATTTCAATAACATCGCGCGCTTCTCCACCGTTCCCACGTGATAACTCGAGCTGTTCGAAGCTCATTAGCGCGCGATTGTTTACGCGAGAATATCGAGCAATCGTTCGAACACTTACCGAACGACCGATTTCACGTTATCTCGAACGATCAGCGTTTGCACACTCATCAAAATATAACACACAACGCATCTGTGAAGATACAGAAATTTCCTTTCCACGGAAGAGAAATGATCCGGTGCGACGTTCAACGTTTAAACGTTCCTTTGCAATCGTAACAACAAATTGCTCAGAAACAAATGTCCAGGCGCTGCGCTGTCAATTTTCAAAGACAGGCGAACGAATGAGAAAAGCATGACTCACCGTGCGAAGGAAGGATACGTCATCCTGCTCGGAGCCACCCTCGCTGTCAGCCATCCCGTCGGTACGTTTTCACGCAGGCTGACGTTGAGCTCGGTTCACCTCTGCCTCGCGTTATTTTCCTCCCGGTGGTTGTTGGTCTGGCCTGATTCTCAGCGACGAACGTCCACCGTCCCCCGAGCCAGGGTAGTCGATAGGGCGCGGACGAACGGTCACACACGATCACGGTTCGACATGGTTCGCCTTCCCGGTGGCACACGCACGGCTGCCGGTGGAACAACGTTTACGCGCTGTGCCGACGACAACGACAACAACAACGACGACGACGACGACGACGACGAACACCAGCAGCAAGGTGTCGACGACGTCCTAACCTCCGATGGTGCACCAATGATCAGCAACTACTGGCCGGAGAGTATGGCTCGCGCGAACCTCGGCAACCCCTGCGCAAGCGCCCGTTTCTTTCAATCAAATTCCGCATGCTCGAAATTCCGTCGTAACGAACACAACACAACAGCAGGCGCGCACGCCTCCCCTTGTCGTTGTTTATTCTTTGTCGGGGCAATCTGCTCATTTCGGTGGTTCAAGTGGCTTAAGAAGCAGGGGTGAGCAGTTTGGGGATTCCTCGAATCTCGATTAGCACCGTTCATCGAGTTGAAAGGGCGATCGGTTGAACGAGTTCATTGAGTTTCGTAGTCTTGGCGAGGTTAAAGAGACGGCCAAGCGTTTTTGAAATTTGTCAGAAATTTGTTTGAACGTTCGAGCTAAGTTTGTTACCGATCGAGTGGATGGAAGAACGATCAAGAAGTTGATTTAAAACGAGAGAAAGTTGGTTTAAAAGAAGAAAAGCCCGACTGAATCTTCGCGCGTTTAATTGAACAAAGAAAGAAAGAGATTGTTACCGTGACATGGAATATCTCTGCTTCGTGCATTTTTCTATTAGAATACACATCTATTATATAGGAAATCCTAATAGCCTGATACATTGAAGATCGCTCGATCGATTATTTTTCCAATGAATCGTCCGCGCGTAATTAATCACTGCTAATGGCGGCGTTAATTACAACAGCGTTGGTACCACTGTTGTTAACGATATTATCGGTTTTATTATTTACGTAATTGCCGTGATGATGCGTAAACGTGCGTCAATTAAACCGAGGAAGATTCCAGCGTGCGGAAGCCCGTATATTTAGAGGTAAATTCAACGGGTGACGGGTTTGAGTAAAAATAGTTTAGAACAACCGTCCCCCTCGCGGTTACTTCCGGTGTAGTTTAAAGCTCACAACGACTCACTTCGGCAACAAATTCCTCCCCCCCCCTCCCAAGTTGCACGTTGCGTTTCATGCTGACAAATTCTGCGTCGAATTTATCAGCCGAAGTAGACGAAACACACGTGATCCGATAATTGAATTTAACCCGCGAATAAATCCAATTTCGCGCGAATTTTTCAATCAAGCTTTCGAAGCAGCTTTTCGTTCCCGGGACGATGTTGACTGCGGGGCTGCGAAGGAAATTAGCTAATTAAACGGCACCATGGACAATAACAAGACAACGATCGACGACGTTGACGCGAGCACACGCGCACCGCACCGAGCACCGGACCGATTTCATTCTCGCGTCTATTTCCAGCAACCGAGCAGAAATAGATGCATTTATCACCGCACTTGTGTGCGCTTGGCCGTGCCTGCACTCGAATTAGAAATGGTAACGCGTTAACCGAAGGTTAAGGATATCGCGGGTGAGATGTCCTAGCAGAGTCCGGAGATTCGCGATTTCCCGCAGAGATCGTACGAGGATGCGAACGTCGATAAATCACCAACGCGTTGCCGCGCGAGCTGGCAACGAATCAACAGAAAGTATTGTCCGCGTGCTAAATATTTCCCTCGAACAATTCTCACGAAAAGGCGAGCATCGGCGAGGAAATATATATACTTGTACCATTGGAATCGGAACAGTGTTCGCCTCGCTGCGAGTGTTTCGCAATTTTGGAAATTCGTTGCCAGAATATACACTAACGACGTGGAGGATCGAGCATCGTCGCGTGCATCTGAAATAAATATACCTGTGCCTCTATGCGCGATCCATCTTTTCGATCGAGCAATCGAGCACGTTGCACAAAAGAACGTTCGTACGTATCTGCAATGAAAAAGAGGTAGAAAACTTTCGAGAACGCTCCCTGCAGGCACGTATCGTGCCCAACCCGCACACACTCCTCGATGCGTATCGTATGCAAATGCATCGAGGTCGATCGGTCTCCCGAGTGTCCGCAATGTAACTGGTAACCCACACCGCGTTACCTTCAAACTGCACCCTCCTTTTTTTTCTTGTTTTCCTCTCTTTTCTCTTCATCCACTTCACTGTACCGCGAGACAGACGAATCGGTCTGAAGAAAGCGACTGGCCCCGAGAAATTTCGCCTCCGA